CAGGACCTGATCAGCACTTCCCAGCTTTGACCATTAGAGATCCAGGAGAATCTGCTCCTTTACAGCAAAATAATCATGGCGAGGCACCAGAAAATCTAAAGGAGATAGAAAAATATTTCAGATTGAGGAAAAATATGTTGAGATGTGATGTACCAAGACCAAAGCATTTGGAGATCATTACCAGTGTTCGTGAATGACACGTGTCAGTTCCCAGTATGAATAAATCCACAAAACTGCTTTGAATTATGTTGAGGAGAAATAAACCTTTAATGAATCTCACACGGATATGTAAGGGCCTATTTTCTTTAATCAAATTGCTGATATTCTGGAGCCAGGCTTCAGGAAAGAGTTCAGTGAAGATTAGGATCTCCTCGCCAACTATCCCCCAGATGAAATTGGCAATTCACATCATGATTGTTTTGTGGGATATTGTTTTGAACAAATTGCTTACAAAATGCACATTCATAATGTATCATATATAAAACACTGAAACATACATATATACACACACACACACTTTGTAGCACTTTGAGACATTTTGATATTGTGATATTTGATATCCCTCCCATATGGCTATTTGGTTCCTCTATAATTATCTTTCATAAGCATCGCCTCACATAGTGATAGAAATTCCCTGAATACATGCAAATGAAGTTAGCACAGAAAAGTTAGTCTTGTGCAAAACAAAGGCTAATTAGTGATCACGCTATATTCGATTCGTGAGAATACAGTGGAATTGTGTCATTTTGACTCAGAAGCAAACAGAACTTGTACTGCTGGAAGAGAGAATGTTTGAATATACGGTAGCTGCTCAATCTGGTTTCACGGGGAAGTTTCCTATGCAAGTTAGAAAATGTAACCAGATGTGCATGATGTAAATCCAGTTAACTTCAGTAGCAAGTCGTTATGACTCAAAGTTGCATTTTCTTCCCCATTATTATGATAATAACACACTTGGTTTCCTGCAGTTTAAATTTCCCAATTTAAAATAGACTTTCCCCCCAGCTACAAAATAATTAAACAATTATCGCAACTTGATATACAAAATGTCCTTACATTTTTCATGCAGAGATTTGTGATTACCTGCAGACAATGAATCAGCGCACAGCCAAGAAAATGTTGGATCTACTTTAAATACATTTCTAAGCCAAGCTTCACAAATCTAATACAACTTAACTGTAACAGAACAAAAAGAGCAAATGCAAACCCCCCAATAAATATAGTGCAATTCGACAAGACACACGTCACACACACGCTGCCTGGTAACAAGGTTAATGCTATACTTTTCCATCTCCTATTGTAAAATCCAATGTAATGCTCTTCTTTTGGGAAAACGTTGATGTAATATTGAGACCTTGTAAAACCTGTTAGCTATCAGTGTGATTTCCATTAAGGCTTTTTTAAAATAAATAAACCATAGCTTGTTGGGCTGGCAGCTTCTAAATTGATGGAAGAGGGTTAAAACAAAAACCTTGTAAACATCCATTATTTTATTAATAGAATCAACACAATGAATAAAATATAGTTCTATCGCATGTTATTTTTTCGAACTGAAAGCTTCATCATTGATTTCAAATAACTCTCTGCTTTCCTCTCCACTCCATTCTTTTTGGCTGTTAAATGCCTTCACTATTCATCAGTCCAATAGTCTTTTTTTTAATATGCAAATGTTAATATATATCTGAGCTAACTATGTGTTATTATAGTCACACAATCCTAAAATGTTAACGCAAGGACTTCACAACACAATACAGCTCGCCAAAGATTATTTGCAACCAACATTTGAAGGTAACGTCTAACTTTTTATGTCTAAAATCAAGTAAAATCCATAGTCACCCTCTTCCAGCATTTGGAGCCAAAGATATCCTAAGTACAATCTTCTTCTATAATATTAAAATGACAATGTCTGTCTGTCTGACTGTCTGTGTGTCAGTGTATCTGACAATCTTACAATAACTGATTGACGTAGAGACATGATTTATACCTCATTGGGAAGGTCTTGCATCTGGCAGTGTCATGGGCACATTTTTTGAGGAAGATCTCCTATTGTTGAGCTATATTAAAAAATGCCTTAAGTAAGTCCCCAAAATATGAGGTATGTGTCGTTTTCTGCACACACAGTTCAGTGAGATACATCTATATTCTGCAACAAATGTATGGCACTCTTTTCTGGTTGTCATGGTAGTCCTCCCATGTGGGGCAGACAGAGAGAGAGACTGAGAGAGAAACTGAGATAGTGAGAGAGACAGAAAGAAAGACTGAGAGAAACAGAGACTGAGAGAGACTGTGAAAGAGAATATATTATAAAGTGTAGCGACTGTGTGTTTTGTGGGAGAGACAGAGACAGATTGAGAGAGAGAGAGACTGAGACATTGAGAGAGAGAGAGATTGAGAGAAAGAGACTGCGAGAAAATATATTAAAGGAGTTCTCCCACAGGAGTCCTCCCAGCTGAGTATAGATAAAGACGAAATGTCTGTTTGTGTATACATTCCATACTGGATCCTTTAGTTGCCATCGAAGCTGCGATGGATGCAGCTAGTTATATTATAACAAGAAAAATGTAACTGCCTAAGCATATGATACAATTATTTTCACAATGCTGAGGTAAGTATGACTGATAGACCTTGAAAAGCAAGCCTCTGGCCACACATAATTAAAGTGCAAAATGAAATGGACGGGTAGGGGACATATTAGCGGCAATGTTGAGGTGATTGACAAGCTTCAGCCACTTGTGAATGGATGGGCTCCAGACATGCACAAAAATTGCTCAGCTGTCAATCAATCACGATTTCCCGCCCTTGTGCTTCCCCGTTCCTCCGCGCCACCCACCCCCCCCCATCACTGATTGACAGCCCAACTCCAGACGCTTGTGAATGGCTGGAGTCCGCTGCCAAACGCAATTTGACTCCTGTCATCTACATCCAGGAGCCCCTCGTGGCTGAATGTAGCCACTGGCCAAACAGAAGGCCCGTGTACGTACACTCAGCAGCGACCAGAATGGCATTTTGACCGATTTTTGTCTGAATTATCAAATGTATTTAAAGCAGGTAAGAATACAAATGATTCGGGTCCAGGCGTTTTTTTCAATTTACCCGACGTCCAGGATTATCCGGCGTCCGACAAAAGCGGATTTCACTGTATAAGCAGAGATTTTTATCACAAGAGAGGCATGGGTGAAGAAAGTGCTTTGTTGTATTTGATCTCCTCATTCCAGAATACCTGCCCTGTTTTTTTTTTCCATTTACAGTATCAAGCTGCTTCTTAAATGTTAAAATAATCGTTGCGGATGTTTAATCCAAATGATTGATGAAGAAGCTTAGTTTAATTTTTCGCCCCGAATTTTTGATTTTTTTTTGAATTTTTGATATATTGATGGAAGACCGTGATATAGCATTCATTGAATAGATGTGATTTTGTTTTAAATAAAGTTTCAAATGTAATAAAAATCAGTGAACAGCAGAGCACAGACTTATTGAGACTATGAATAATACTTGGCTTCATTTTTTTCGTTTCACTCCATAACTTTCTAATAACTTTGAAACTATCCTCCACTGTTTGTGGTTTGTTTAGCTTAGGCCAGCTGCTAAGTTGTAGCTTCTGTATACTGAAACTCACTGTCTGGTACATATCTCGACAAGACTGCAAATTAATTTAGGAAGCAGTGGTTTATTACGCTATATAGTGTGGTATTGAAACCAAAGTAATATTTTCAGTTGAATACTTTTTTTTTTACTTGACATTCATTCATGTCTCATGATTTCCTAAAGGGTTATGAACTTCTCCATTCTCTTTTATGGACGTTCTATTGAAGCTAAATTGAGAGATCACTTATTAATAATCCTGTCTCATAAATAATAATGATAATAATTTGCTCACCTAATCCACAACCGTTTTTGGGATACCACTGTGCTCTGCTGTGTTTCACCCACAAAACAGAGAGCCAATTCACTTAACAAATATATTCTGTGAAGCGCTTTGAGACATCTTGAAGATGTGATAAGGGGCTATGTCAAATGTAAGGATTATTATTATTAATACGCGGGGGAAAATGTCCAGCAAGTAATGTATAATTTCACATTATTATACATAATCCAATAACAGGGCACAACTCAAAGCAAACCAACATCCAAGAGCAGTTTTGCAATAGAGGAACGGTTGCTCTCAGGAGTGTAATCTGAAGGGAAGTCTCGTGATAGTTGTTACAATTTGCTCTGATCAGGAATATGCTATCTTGACAGACTGTGAAGTAATCCCCTACCCTCCAAGACACATACCTGACTTCATTCTTCTCAATTTCCCATATTGCCTAATTCTTATTTCTTTATCACTTGAGTTTCTTCTGACAAAGATCTCCCTATTTCTAGTAATAATAATAAAATAATAGTATTCCTTTCATGTGATAGCACTTCACAGAATATACTGTAAAGTGAATTGGCTATATTTTCTGGGTGAAACGTGGCAGCCAATTACACGCAATGGTGTCCCACAAACAGTCGTGGATTGAGTGACCAAATTATTATTTTTTCTTTTTTGGGGGGAAAGCGATCTGCCAATTGATTAACAACCAGGTTCCTACTTGCTAGCTAAACAGAGACATGTGGAATGAGGAAAATTGCTTAAGTTCGCCCTGTCTGGGAATCAAACCCAGGTCCTCTTGCCTTCGAGGCGAATGCTCTAACCACTAAGCTACATTTGTTCTCCGTTAATCGTTCACATAATGTTAAAAAAAATGCTTCACTGCTTCAGTGCTCAACACTGAACATTGGGAAATCGTGCAATCCTTGTCCAAGAAAAAACAAATTATTTAAACTTTTTATTAGCACCATTTGCTGTTCGATTCGATGATGTGATTTGTTCGACTTTCATTAGCAAATGTGAAATAAATTGGAACAGCACGAAATAACTGTATATGTGTACTCTGCAGTTCACCGTCCCTCTAATTAATACTTTTTATTTTAGTTTTGTGATTTTGATTTAACATGGTTCCTTGTTTTGGCAGACGTGGAACAAATGGCTTTAGATTGGCTAACTGGAAACTTTTACTTCGTGGATGATGTCAGTGACCGAATATTTGTGTGCAACCGGAATGGAGATACTTGCGTCACTTTACTAGATCTGGACCTGCGGAATCCCAGAGGAATTGCCCTTGATCCAGACATGGGGTAAGTTTGTCTGTGATCTTCTGTTGTTTATTGCAGGTGGGTTCAGTCGATAACCAGATAAATTTTACAAACTTGAATACACTTTGAATGAAAATTGCTAACTTGGTTGTTGTACAAAAATAGATTTTGTTTCATTCGGTCCGATAATAATAATCCTTGCATTTGATATAGCGCTTTTCACATCTTCTGGAAGTCTCAAAAAGTCTCAGAATATACTGTGAAGTGAATTGACTGTATATTTGTGGATGAAACACTGCAGCCAATTGCGCACAGCAGTGTCCCACAAACGGTTGGATTGAGTGAACAAATTATTATTTTTTTTGAGAGATTATTATCAGGCGTGTGGAGTAAGGAAACTTGTCCAAGTAAAGTAGTTCAGCGCCTTGGGATGTCCTCCCGTCGTCAAAGACGCTATACAAATGTAATCTTGTTGTTACTGATAAATGAAGTAGTTACTGATTGCTGTTCACATTCCTTCAAATCAGATGTTAAAACTGAAGCTCCATCTGCGTGCTCTGATGATTCAGGTGAACATTAAAATCATGGTCTGTTCAGATGGATGTTAAGGATGCCATGGCATTCGTCTAAAAGAGAAGGGAGATTCTCCAAGTGTCCTGCACAACAATCCTCCATATTATCTTGTCATTCACCTCATGACTGTGGAGTCCTGTAGCTCAGTAGTTAGTAGTTAGAGCACTTGCCTCGCAAGCAAGAAACCTGGGTTCGATTCCTGGCAGAGCGAAAGCTTGGGCAAGTTTCCTTACTCCACACGCCTGATAATAATCCCTCAAGAAAAAAAGCCCAATAATAAAATTGGTCACTTCAATCCACGACTGTTTGTGGGACACTGCTGTGTGCAATTGGATGCCACGTTTTAGAGCCCCTCACGCAGGGTAGTGTCCCAGAGCGCACAAATATACAGTCAATTCACTTTACAGTATGTTCTGAGAAGCGCTTTGAGACATCTAGAAGACTTGAAAGGCACTATATCAAATGAAAGAATTATTATTATTATTATTATTATTATTATTATTATAGTATTTAAAGGAATTCAGGGAGTTCTTCTGATACAGGGTCCAGTGGCTTCTTATTTGTGTTTGTGATGGCCTAGTTACCTGTGTATATCATTACACTTGAAAGGAACGCATTGTCCAAATCTCTGAGGCTTTTACAAAGAAAGAACTATATCAAATGCAAGTGTTATCGCAACTGTTACTGCTGAAGAAGGAAGTGTCCTATGTGTTCAATAGGTTAACTGTAAATGACATGGCTAATGTTTGCTGCAAATATTTTTATGTGCACTGTTCATATTGGATGCGCTCTGGGACACTACCCTGCGTGAGGGGCTCTATATAAATGCAAGTTGTTGCTGCTGTTGTTGAACACAGCCAATTAACAGGGCAGACACGTCCATGCAACAAGTCATTGTTCCTGAATGACATATGAAGAATATGAAGAACAATTACAATTGTTCAAGTTAAATTTAAAGCATGTACTATATATGAACATTATGGTTACTGTGTGCAATTGGGGCATGTGTGTGAATTGTTACGAAATTTCTTAATTAAGAAATCCATGAATATGTGACACATTTCGGGAAGGTGGGTAAATCTTCATCCATTTTAAGAAGTTGCTTCCTTGAAGTCTCATCTGTGTGACGTGATGCAGATCCGGTTACCAGATTTTCAAATTCAGATACCCTAAAGTCGGTTCCGGTTAAGAAACACCCAAAATGGAACTCTTGTACTTTCTCTCTAAAAATGCAATAGGTTTTTACTCCTCAGTGTCTCAATGTTATTCCAGTTTGGAGCCCTTGGAGAACATGGTGAATGGTTTTATTGTTATGATGATAAGTTACTGTTGAATCACAGAAAATACCACAGAACATTCTGACCTAATCACAATATGTACCAGACTCTATACCAGCTATTGTTGGCACTGGAGAACATCCAGAATCAATCCTGTACTGATTCCAAACTTCAGTGGATGCAGATCAATGTTAACTCACACTTTATTATACTTTTATAAACTGGGATGTTCACAACCTACTGTTAATAAGTATTTTTCATCTAGGACCTTATTTACAGATTGATTGCTTTGCTTTCTACTCAAGAGACTGAGCATCATGAAAAGGAACTATCACGGTGCATCAAGGGTTACTTACTTTTGTATTAATAACGATGAGCCAACAGTGATCAAGGTCAACATCAAATCAGTTAATCTGAGGCGGGATCTGTTGGAACGTCCCCCGTTAGAAGATTGAATAGAATTGAATGTGTGAGTGTATATAATACATTATTAGAAAACAGTCTATTGAGTGCAGTTGGGATTAAATTGAATCTCAGAAGTCATTATGGAATTGTATTGACTGAAAAGCATTTACATTTAATGATACCCAGAAGAGATAAGTATACTCCAAACATACCTATTCACTATCAGACTGAAAACAGCCCGCAATGCCCATTATATTTTTGACTTGTTTTCAAAGCTCCCTTCGTAAACATAATTCCAGGAATGATAACATTTTGCTTGTTTATTGATAAGCTATTTTGTGCTTTATTCCCCTTTCCCAAAGGACCACATGAGAGAATCCATGAAAAACTAAGGTCAATGGGTATCAATGTAGGAGATCAAACGTGGATCAGTAACTGTCCGAAAGAAAGCAGAGAGTGATTGAAAGGGGAACAAGGTTGAAATGGGGAAGCTGTTAGGTGAGGTTTTGGTAATCCTTGTTGAGACCCTGCTGGTCCCATGAATGCATTAATTACCTGGATATAAAGTCAGTGCAAGATAGTTACATCTGCCAACATCAGGGTTGGAGGAACAGTAGAATTCGTGGAGGAGGCCAAGATTTTACAAAAAGTGCACAACAGGGTTTGCACCAGGGTTGATAATTGACAAAATAAAGTTCAATACAGATACTTACTGGATATTAGAAGTAAACTAGGAAGCATATGTATTGTATGTAGGGATAGCACTTCCCAAATTGGAAGTCGAAAGTGACTGAATTTGTTATCCAATACTGAATTCAAGCTTACTAACAGAAATGCACACATGAGAGAGAAGGGAATAGAGAAATAAGGGAGAGGGCAATTGGAAGAGCGGATCCTCATATGGAGTATAAACACCGACAAGGACTAATTGTGTCAAATGGCTTGTTTCCATGTTAGAAACAGTCCTTGTAATTCTATGTAATTTTCGTTGCACAGCATCTTCAGACAGCAGGGGGGAGCAATAAACAAAACAACGTAGCTCAATAATATTCATTAGGTTTACTTTAAACATGAAGTAAAGTGGTGTATAAATCTAAATAATCACTTGTAGCTATAGCTGAACACTGAAAGCAATACATTATTTGTTACTATGACTACAATGGGTCTCTCTTGGCTCTTAGTCCTATACTAGTCCAAGGAAATTCAAGCTTGCTGATAGTAATGAATTCATTTTGAGTGTACTGAGGTACAGTTCACTGTTTTTATTTCAGAAAAGAATGGACCTCAAACTAATAGGGCTGTAGATAATGCGTGAGGAATGATTCTAAAATAAATGCTCCTTGAACACAATTGATATAAATTGCTGATACCTTGGAGACCTGTCAAGACTTTATACACGGTTCGTCTAGAGTAGCTGGCAAGCTTCCATTGATGGGTTCTATAGCAGTTGGCAAGGCTGAGCAGACTTTTGTTCCTGGCCATCCTATTGAAATCTTTTGTATTGTCTGTCAGAGGCTACAATTCCCAACACATTTAGGTGTTTGTTCTGCATTGTGGGTTTTCTGAACACAAAATACATGTTCTTGATTGAATATTTTTGTACTTATGCCATAAATCAAGAAATATTCAATGAAGAAAAACCTGGAAATACACTACCAATCAAACATGGACTTGCCTAGACTAGTGCAGATGTTCGTGAACCGGGGTGGGGGGGGTGGCAAAGGGTGGGTGACGCTTCTTGCCAGACCTGCGGTCCATAGTTTGGCTGGCACTGTTTCAGATACTTGAGCAACTAGAACAGCAAATGAAAACTTTTAGCGTGGCTAGTATTCTTAAATACCCGGGATGGTTTCTTTGTTCTGTTCAGAAATCCTCACGTCCTGCAAAATTCATAACGCTCAGTAAATATAAACCATCAAAAGATTCAGATTAAAACCATAAAAATCACTTCAAATTGATCAGTCTAATTCCAAAATATATTTCCACTTTCAAAGGGCTGAAAATATAGAGGAAAGTCTAAAATAAATTTGACCTTCTTTTACTTGTATCACAGATTTCAGCTGTTTAACGTTGCAACACATCGTAAAGTAGTCTCCTAGAGGCTTAATATCCGGGAAACATTTGTCAAAACAGATTCAAATCAGTGTGTGACTAAGAGGCAAGATTTTATATTGGGGTCGGTTTGTCACGCGTTTTAAATTTAGGAATTTCTAAAGTATCCAAGTTCCCCAGATGTGCAAGAAGCTGATCTCAGCAGCAAGACTGACCTCACAGATCGATCACCGTGAAGCCGGTCATGCATTTGAGCTTTGAATCGTGGTTTTCAACTGAGGAAAGTCAAACATGCAAACATCAGCATTGTGAAAAATATTGGAGAGAGTGGACAGTCTCCTGAACATCTGGGTACTTCACATGCAACACTATTGGAATTTTTAACTGTAATGAATTTTTACTACATAATGTAATAGCAAGTTGAAGTTCTAACCCATAATCTTTGTACGTAAAACCCTTTTGACCTCATCACATTTTGGGGTAAATTAATACAGAGTGAACCCCCTCCGGTTAAGGGAGCAATACATCAATTTCACATGTCCTCTCTCTTGGGTGGCTTGGCACAGATATAATTTGTGTGCTAAAAATGTTTTCAGGCATCTTCCAAAAATTCTGTCTCTGATGAATGTAAGGCAAAATATTCCTTTGAGACTCAAGTAATATGCAAAAGGGTTTGTGAGCAGTTCTGGATTGAAGAAAGTGGAAAACTTTCTCCTCAGAGGGAGGGTGCGTGGG